TGGCATCATCCGTGGGTCTAAGCTGAACCCGTGGCCTGAAGGCCCGAAGGATCCCGAAGGTGTGTCCAGTTCTTGGCCAAGTCCTAGTCTGGTCCAGCTAATGGTGAGGCTGAATGGCACTGAATGGTGTCTGCCTGAAGAACTATGCCAAAAATGCATCTCTGACAGCCAAAGATCTGATTGAGGTAGAAAACAATCAAACCTTGTCTTTTGACCGTTTCGGTCTTCCTACTCCATTCTTCCCAGCAACTCCAATAAGCACTCTTGGCTACGTGAATAGCCCAATTGCATGACGCTCAGCAAAAAATGATCTTGTGCCATTCATGTCTGCCACTAGCGCATGTCACTGCAATTCAATGGACGGAGTGAAGGGCTGGCATAGGCTGGCTGCCTTTGACTACCCTATTTCTCAATCTATGCCCGCCTTGCGTTCTCCAACAGTTACCTCGGCTAGTCTCATTGTCCCAACCCCGCCACAGGCTTTACCAGTCTCATTGTCATAGATAGATGGCCCATAGATACCCCATAGTCATAGTCTTTACAGGATCTTGAATAGTTCTTTAATGTCGACGTCGTATTAATCAACGGGCCCCCCTCCCCCGCCCCCCTAGAAGGTCAACAAGGTCAACAAGGTCAGAGATTGGAGGTTTTGGAGATCACATCCCCCTAATAGTGGGGATGACCTGATGATGAAAGGGAATTTGATTTGGAAGAATTTGATATTTAAATAACTATATTTTTCCTGGTGGGACAGGGGGTAGACTAATAGGGGGGGTTTCAGCCAAGCAAAAAAACATTTAGAGGGTGGTGACTGTGGAGTTTATTATTGGGGCCTGAACGCTGGGTAGACTAATAGGGGGGGGTTGGTTAATCCTATGTTGACATTACTCACAAAGGTGAAACCGCCAAGGCACCCAGTCACTGCCATCAAACCGCTCGACTGCCAGATGCCTTAACGTCATCAAGCTGTTCGTTCGATGCGGCACGCGAAAGCAGGAGAAAACTCAGCAATCACGGAACCTGTACCCTCCATTGTGCCCTCCCTCCTCTGCAACTGGTTCCTTCCATATGTCTTGGTTTTGTTTGCTGCCCGCACTCGGAAAAAAGGGCTGAGCGGGTTGCGATGATCCTGATGCCAAACGCGTAGTCTGGTAAATGCGGACCTCATCATCACAGGAATCCACCCACCACAACTCACCTTTTCGGATCATTCTTCCTCAGCCGCTGAAGCTCATTTCTTCAAGCAAAAAAGAGTTGCGACCAATTTGGGTTGCCTTTCTCCAACCTCTCTGCTAGTCACCAGTCTACAACTCGAAACAAGCAGGACGTCTGCTGTGGATGTTTCTGTGCCCCTGAGTGCTACTTATATAGATACTTGAAGTACTTGGTTGACATTTCGGCAACTTCTCACTGCAATCCTGGGACGTCCAACGCAGCGTGGCCAGCTTGGTACGTAGGCAGAGAAGGCGAGCCAAGGCTGGGCGGCTGGGAGGCTCAAAAATTATTAGCAACAACCTCCAACCCAATGGATGTCTGCTGATGAAACATCAATGAACGCACTGAACCTGTCCGCTTCCTTGACCACATTTAAGGTCAGTTGGCACTGAAACTCAAATCGGCAAAGTGAGAAACATGGCACGGGAGAAAAGCTCTTTTGGTAACCAAGCTTGCTGACATTCACAGAAGCAAGTGAGATCAACATTTTCCTTTGTGTCACAACGTCCCCTGACCAACTATATATGTTTTGTTGTCTTTGGTGGCTGATGAAATGTCAGTCAATTGGTTGAATGCTCTTGCTCAGGGTATCACAGCTATTGTATTTGGTGGATAGGCTCAGTTGGGGTAAGCAAATGTGCCCCTCGGTGTCTATTCATGAAGTAGCAATCACAAGCACGCAAGAAACAACTCCAAATTGAAGGCGCAAACAATTCATACTACAGTAAAATAAGCCTCATCCAAACACCATCAGTTTCTAATGCCCTTGATGTGTTGTCCCCTTGAGGAATATCAAACAGTTTTTTCTGGAGCGTCTGTGTCAGCATTGCCTCTCGTGCCCCACAGCCATCACAGGATGAGGCCTCAATGTGACAGGTCTGCCTTGAGGCATCAAACTGGGGCGACCATCTCCAAACGAAGAACTACAACCTTCAGCTGAAGGTCGAGGGAAGGATAGGGAAGGTGATTTGTGGAACTTGCATGGATCATACTTGTGTGATGTTCCAGGCCACTACCTTGGAACGCTTTCCAAGCTCATTTGTTTTTCCTGGGTAGGCAACATCACAACAGCGAGATCCAGCTCAAAGAGAAAGGATGAAAAGCGATTCTCGTCTGCAACGGACCCGATACTAATTGGGTTGGAGGCCATCGCTGAGGTTGGAGGCCAGTGCACGAGCTGCTTCACCTAAAGCATTAGGTAGCCGAGCCCATTCTGCTTGTAGGCTGCCGTTTTGAATGAAGGCGTTCTCCACCTGCACTTGGTGCCGACACCACCATGAAATCTGGAGACTTGGCACACAGAAAAATGTGACATACCGGAAGTATTAATGCACTTTGGACGGGATCCTGGTCCAGTAGAAAAGGAACATGAAACACAAATTCTGCTCGGCAAATGACAGAATGGTGACGACCCCCTTCACCATGTTTGCCATCTTTCCATTGAGCTGGTCTTGTGAATGGCATGCCTGAAACGTTGTTCATTCATGTAAGCCGGCTGTCGATCACGGCCACAGAAACTCTGGACTGCATGGTTAGTGCCAATATTCATCTACAACCATTTTGTCTGGGTTTATCAGCATTCAAGTGGCACATCGCTACTAGGAGCAAGGGCATCGCTACTAGTAGCAAGAAGCTACTATATAGTTACTAGTAACTACCAGTTGATCCCAGTTCCATTCGTCTCGATGTATGGCTCCATTACACCGTGACGCATGTACTTTCCTTGCCTCAAAGCCCAAGGCCCAGCCAGTCGCCTGCAGATTGACACGAAGTCCCCTCCCCTTCAGGGTCTCCGGTAGCAGTATAGGAGATGGGTTTGGTACGGATGTTGCCGCCAGATTGTCTCAAAATTGCTTCCCACGCTGACTTCTTGTGCTTCCCATCCCGAATCCGACAATGTAAAAGGGGAGGCGTAAAAGGTTCCAGGGACTTTGTTCTGATTTGTTCTGTTCAATGCTGCCCACTAGCTTTGAGGGAAAAGAAGCTACTAGTAACAAGGGCATCGCTACTAGTAACAAGGGCATTAATACTAGTAGCTAGAACCTACTAGTAACAAGGGGGGCATGGTTCAATGCTTGTTGTTCAATGCTTTGAGGGAAAATTGAAAGCTCTCCTGGAGCGAAGCCACCAAACTTAAAGGAAAAACATCTGACAGTCGATAAATATAGCAAAAAAAGGTAGAGCAATAGCCAAAACCACCCAGTATAAACTATTATAAACCGTTACAAATTACAAGTCTGCCCACAATGGTTGCTACCTTCGTTCCCAACAAATGCTTTAGCATCTGGCTTGGCTGGGGCTCTATCCGCTGGAGCTGTGGCTACTGGAGCTGTAGGTCACAGACCAGCCAAAAAAAAATAATCATGGAGTGGCAAACCCAGACTGCTGCCGTGGTTGTTCTTGAATTCGAGGTTTGGCTAAGTTTAGCTCTTGGATTCGAGGTTCATCTCGAAGCTAGTCCTGAAAATGACACCAGGCAAATGGACATTCAGCAAAGTGGCTGCTCGGGTTGGGGGTGTAACACTGGGTGCAACACCTTAACTCACGTCTGGCGTTTTGGTTGCTCATTCTCCTTTCCAAGAGCAACACTGGCGTCGCAACTGAGGAACAGGCCAGAACGTTGCCGTCGACCATGCGAGAAGTGCCTTTGGGGAGTGCAAGTCTTGGACAGGTCTTTGAACCCTCCTACTCGAGACAAACTTGAGACTCGAGACTACTTCATTCATTAAGGGACAGACTTGTTCGCTCCGAGCTACTTGGAAGCTACTTGGTAACTCAAGCTTTGGCCCAAACCCGGACAAATTGACACAGTGTAACACCCTAACACCCTCTTGCCGAGGCCTCCTTTAAACTGGAGAACCAACGGGTCATGGATGGAATCTAAGCAGCCAAGATCAGTGGGGCATCAGCTAACCAACAAGCATAGTCACAGTACAGTGCCCAATCTATCTGGCCTACGACGACGAAGAAAGACAAATGAGTCATATGAGAATCTATTGGCAAAACACGAGGATCCGACTCAAAAGGCAAATGTAATGTGTTAAAGGTATTTAAAGGTTGCCTTTACCAACCTCACCCCTGACCTCACCACCAGCTGAGTTTCCCTGCAGGCCAAGTCCCAGTAGAAGTTCACACCTGTCAAAATCAAAGGCCCCACGCTTTAAATGGGTTAATCCCATCCCATGTCTCATCAACGGCGGACTCGTAGTGATCGCTCACTCACCGGAATGCTCGCACACTCGGCAGCCCCACTCGCAACTGTCCATCTTCTGGGCCTCTCGGTTTGATGATGCAAGATGCTCCTAGTAGCAATGCCAGGAGCCCCTAGTAGCTTCTTGCTCCTAGTAGTAAGGCCAGGAGCCCCTGGTAGCGTCCTTGCAAGATCGTCGAATGATTCACGGGGGCAATGTTGATCGGCGTCGTTACGTGGTAACATGGCATGACCCAGTGATGTAACGGTGCATTGGACACGGTGAGCGTGCGGCGCACGGAACGGTAACCATTGCCATGGTCTTTACAAGAAAGCTTGCGCAAGTGCCATAAGTGATCTGATATCGGAAGACGAGAAAACTTGCTACAAAAGCAAATGCTGCTGGGGAGCACATCCAGCAGGCTGCTGATGCGCCAAAGCCTGACGGCATGGATTATGAATCTAGATCAATAGAAGAAAATGGTCGACGTCACATGCTGCAGAACAGCCGAACACTGGGGCTGGAACATTGTAGTCTTCAGCCTCCTACCCAGTACTTGCTCTAACTGCTGGGCGCTCGCTGCATCCGCCTATTTTCCGAGTGCTTCGCCTACGGTGAAGACTCTTTAGCACGACAGAGCTGTTCTGAGATTGTCTTGGAAGTAGCTAAGTAGATCTTGCGATGGCCAAGCTAAGTGGCTTGCGCCACTTCCAAAACGCCCGCCAAAAAAGGGTCGGCCAAGAAGCCCGAAAACATGAATTCTCGTGGCGAGCAGCGGTCCAAAACGGGTCAGTTCACTGCCCGAAACGGGCTGTAGGTCCTGTAGGTCACAGGATCGCGAAGGATGTAGCTGAAGGCATTCCTCAATATGAAGACTTTAAACAACTTGTTGTCAAAGGACTTCAGTTGTAACTGACCTTCATGTTCACACCATACTCAACCCAACTGGAATTCATCCGAACACCAGTGAGGAATCAGGACGTATATGGTGCGAACGGAACTTTAAAACAAATGATGACAGCTCAACATCATCAAGATTGAAACTTGAAAAAGAATGCGCAGTCGTAGAGAAAGGAGCAGATGGAGCAACCATTCAGCACATGCTTGGAATGCGATGCTGGACAGCTGATGTTGTAGCGTTTCCATGACAAACCCACCAAAGCCTGTCACTACGACCGCAAGGCCTTGCGCCGGCGGAACACATGCAATTGCAACCACAGGAAGCGCGTGCAAGACTTCCGTAAATCCATGGGAGAATTAGTAGAGAACAAGAGGAAATGGTTTTGTTGCCTTTTCCTTTGTGATCAATGCTTCCAGATGCTTCCAGTATCGCAGTACTGCGATTGAAAAAAGTGCCCATCCCGGAAACACATGGGAGTGCTGCTCTGTCCTCATGTTAATTTGTGATAGATTTATCAATCATCAAGTCGTCTGTCAAAAAAAAACAATCCCCTCACAAGTGGCCGCAGCAGAATCAATTGAGTGCAAAACGAATTTAGCTTGGCGACGAATGTTACGCGTCGCAACGCTCGGCTTAAAGATTTGACCAAGCTCGAATCCTCTAGGAAAATTATGTGTAGTCGGCGGGCTCCAAATGGCTTCAAAGGATTGCGGATCGGTTCCTTCTAGTGATTCTAGTGCCTTACTTCTCAATTCTAGTCTCAATTCTACCGAACAAGAACCTGGTCTTGAGCTAAACAAGAAGAACTTCTCAAATGCGTGGAGCCCCAGAAAGAACAGGTCGGACAGGACGGACAGCTGTTGGCGCTAGCTGGTTCAACTGCTGACGGAGCTCTTGCAACTGCACCTGGCAGGTGGTACAGTCAAACTGAGAAAGCAATGATTTATCTGATTTGTTCATTTGTCCTTTGCTCTTTGCTCTTTTGATCTGTTCCTTTCCTTATCCTTTTCCTTTCATCCTTTCTTAGGACAACTCAAAAGCAATGCCACTAGTTTATATAAGTATATTGTATAATAAGATTCACAAGACAATGACAGCAGCATAATTAAAATGTCTGCATTGTGTGAAAGCCCATTCGGACGGCCCACCTCAACAAAGGTCCAGAAGTGGCCCTGATTCTTCAGCAACCAAGCCTGACGGCTGGACTTTGCAACCCTTCGTCAAAAGGCAGCTGTTTTTCCTCAGGCGGGCCCCACATTCCTAGTTTACTTGACCAACATAATAGAATCAATAGAAGTCTCTTGAGTGCGTGAGATGTGTTCCTGCTTCTGTCGGGGCAAAGGATCTAAGAAGCCGCTCGGCCACTCAGCCATGGTATTTGTCGTCCTTGTCTAATCAAGGCCCAAGAGCCTGTTGGTGCAGGGGTCATGGGGGTCATGGCCCCTCCAAATTAGAAGCTATGGCCTCCACCCTAGAAGGCCTCCAACCTAGTAGCGATGGCCTCCAACCTAATAGCAATGTTACTAGTAGCGTCCTTGCTCCTAGTAGCGATGCCCTTTGTTCCTAGTAGCGAACATTGCTCCTAGTAGTAAGGCCAGGAGCCCCTAGTAGCGTTCTTGCTCCTAGTAGCGATGCCCTTTGTTCCTAGTAGCGAACATTGCTCCTAGTAGTAGGGCCAGGAGCCCCTAGTAGCGTTCTTGCTCCTAATAGTGACGGCCTGTTCATGGATGAGCTTTGCAATGTCGATGGCTCGTGCTGTGCCCCGCAGTCGCAGGCAACCCATCAAGAATTCTTCGATCTCCACGGCGCCGCCTCGTCGTTTTGCAAAGAAGCGCGAAGAACAGAAATAGAAAGCAGCAAGGGTTGGTAAAGAAAGTTTGTGGTTAGTAAGATACGAAGAACGGAAGGAAATTAGGATGCTACTGCGGGAAGATGAAGGAAGCCGACCAATCTCATTCTGAACTTCTCAAATCCATTCAAATCTTTTCTTCTGGAATTTGCCTGGCACCTGCCAGGATCTCATGTTTCAATAATTTTCATTTGGATGAATATAACGCAAGGACAACAGTCGCACTTAGATGGACTGGTCTGCACCTTGCAAACCTGGGAATTCCCGCATTCCACAGTATTCCATGCATGTCCGCAGTAATTCAAGCTGTCCAAGTCTACGCCACATCCTGCATCATCCTGTCACGTGCCGCGTCCGCTCTTTCGGCCCTTGCCTGAATCTAAGTCCAATAGTTTGAAGAAAGACCAAGCCTTAGCCGCTCAGTCTAAGCTGAGGCGCGCAGCTTGAGCTGGAACGGCAAACGACTTTCAGAAAGACCCGCCATGGCACATCCCAAACGTTCAGATCCATAGATTCGAAGTACCTGGGGAGAAGGCAGGCGCGTGGCTTTTGTAGATTTTGGCGGCCCTGCATTTTGGTTCACCATGTAAAAATGACACCACCATGTACGACTGCACAGCGAACTTTGATTAACTTTGTACGGATGATGAGCCGCACAGTCAAGAATGGACAAATGGGTATGGATGGGTGGATCGATGGTGTGCTCTAGATACGTTCTGAATATCATTGACTGCATGTGTGGTCAGGAAAGTCGTGATTACCGGTGAAAAACCTCTTATGAACAGGAGTAACAGGGACGCTATTAGGTGGAGGCCATCGCTACGAACAAGAAGTTATATACTAGTACCTAAATTCCTGTTGGAGTCTGCAGGGGGCGCTGATCCACAAGCTCCACTTCATATGCAAATGAGATGCGCTTTCACTGCCTGATCTCCCACCTTCTCTTCAAACATCCTGGAACGTGACCGGCGGGGTTAACGGTCTGGAGAACTGAGGAACCACAAAGGGCGGCAAAAGTGTTTCAACTGATTTGCAAAACCTACAGCATCCTACAGCAACAATTGGCTCTTGCCAACATCCTCACGGATAAGTAAATGCACTTCCTGGCCATTCAAACTCCAACCGAGGGATCTTGTGGTCTGTGGCCCATTGAGTGCCAAAGGAGTGCCAAGTTGCTGATATGTGATGAGACCACGATCTTGGGCATCGATTTCGTTAAACCTGAGTCAAGAAAGGAGCATGGCCAGCATGAAAGTTTGTGTCGATGATTAGCAGCATGAAAGTGTTCATCTGGGTGTGTTAGACTTTGTCCAAGGTGCAACAACTTGATCTTCTCAATGTGCGCTTCCTGGCGTTTCAGACGACGATGGAACTTGAGGGCTTGGGCCCTGAAAGTATTGGGCCGCAAGCCCTTCCAGAAAATCTGCAATTGTCGCGAAAGGCAATGGACTCCCAGCCTTGTTCGCCAAAATGGACTGCATTACCTTGGATGGGTGAGTTTTGCCAGCGACGAGTGCTGCATTTCTAGCTGCTAGCTATCGTTCTTCTCTTTTTGGGGGTTCCATTCACAAAGCTTGCTGCGCTGGTGGATGAAATGTCAATGAGACGTTCTAATTTCTCAACCCATTTGCTCACGCAGAAAGGCTCTTTTGCATCACTCTTTTGCACAAAGGCTGACAGGCTCAGAAAATATCAGTGGTGAAAGGCTCTTTAAGTCTTAGCGAGTCAGGTGGCCATTTGATGATCGCTCTGCGCCGAGTCGATGGCGCTTTGACAAAACACCTGGGCCGCTCAACATGGACCGGATCGGTAGTAGAGCTCGAGTTCTCACTTGAGATGCCTGCCATTATGCATTAGAAACCAGTTCAAATGGGGTCTGATGCAAACAGGATGCATCGGCAATGTATATATAATATATGTAGACTGTAGACATGTGAATGCCAAGTGGGAGCAGTGATGAGCAATGCTGTTTCTACCCACTTGGGCTGCTTCGACCCTGCTTGTGTTTCACCACATCACGGGTGTGCACTTGAACACGTATCAAGACAAGCCGCACCAGTCACGACCTCAGCTGCATCAAGCCGCGACAGCAACGGGCAACATGCGAGATCAGCGTTTGTTCAGAACGCCCCCACCCCGTGCCGATGGAAACTGCTCACCGCAGACGACTAACCAGCACGCCAAGGCTCATTGAGCACGGCGAAGTTGCAAAACGAGATGAAAAAGACGAAAACCTGGAGTGACCCGGACGCTACTAAAGGCTCCTGGCATCGCCACTAGTAGCAAGAACGCTACTAGGGGCTCCTGGCATCACCACTACAGTAATAACAAGAACGCTACTAGGGGCTCCACCTGCAGTGACCCGGGGAAGCCATGGAATGCTACTAGGTTGGAGGCCATCGCAAGTAGGTGCCACCAAGAAAGGACTTTTTGCTTGACTGTTTCCCCTGTGTGTATAACCCAAGACCTGGAACAGCACTGCGAACCCTGTCATCATTTTCAGCCCTGACAGCTCCAAACACATTTGCTCTTAACTTGTTCCCACAGGTGCAAACATCGCCAGAACATCTGTTTGGAACTAACACCTACCTGGAACCCTCATGTGGAAATCAGGCCAAATTCTGGACATGCTAATGCGAATGCTAGGCAGCCATAGCCCATGCCGGGGACAATCTCCTGCACATCGCGTTGACATACATCGGGCTTTCAGGTTGTAGGAATCAACACCCGTGGATGCAACATGATGTAGGTCCATCTCATTCAGACCAAAGCAATTTCAATGCAACCTGATTGAGAGCCTATCAGCACCATCACCGATACTGGTTGGGTTAGATTAGTTGTGCTAGATTGGCTGCATTTTGTGAGATCAACTTGCCCAACATCCTTTACGACTCCATGGTGCCTGAGAGGGTAAATGACATTCTCCCAGCTGACGCCGCCGGAGATGCACATGAAGAGACTCCTTACAAGCGGTCGCTTAAGCGGTCGCTTGAGCGGTCGCTTGGGGTTCAAGGTTCAACTTGCATGCTGTAGTGGCGTGACCTGCAGTGACTGTGGTCAACCCAACATCACTGGCGTGGAAGTTTAGAGAAGTCAGCTGGTGCATCCAGGGCTCAGCATAGTATCTGGCAGCGAGTTGAAATACCGATCCACCTAAACACAGCGGCACAACTCGAGGCAAATGGCGGTGCAACTCACAAGCCCCGGAAGAGATCAGCAATAGGGCAACCAAGATCAGGATTTAGGACGAAGACTAGTGACTAGATTGGAGGCCATCGCTCCTAGGTTGGATGCCACCGCTTCTAGGTTGGAGGCCATCGCTACTTTCAGGTCTATCTTACCACCTGCCTTTCCCACCTCTGGCTGCCACTCCGCATCCTGTGAGTCCGACACGGCCTGCAAGCATTCACATGCGTTTACTGTAGAATGGCGTGCATCCAAGAAGTAGTGACAAGTAGTGGTAGCTCTGCTGCGAATGTGCTGTTTTTACGTTTGCATGCTGTAGCCGTTGCAACCCGCAAGCCAGCAGAAGCAGCTGACGTCTCGGCAGTTGTTCAAGACAATGACTCTCCGGACTCTCCGCGACTCCGACCACTCCACTGGCCCTTCCTGGGTGAATAGGATTGCAAAAAAGTAGATGATCAAGGCCAGGAGCACGAGCGCCCAGACCAAGGCTTTCCTCAAGCTTTGCAGCTTCACCAAAATGGCCAACAAAGACACGTTCCAGGAGTAAACTGAGTAAACACCAGCCTACACGCTGGACACAAATGCTACGCACCGGCAAACATCAGTCTACACAAGTCCACACGCTGTCCATTTCAAACGGCGCGTCTGGTGTCGCAACTTGTTGCAACACTTGTGGCGGCAGTGCGTCACAGGCTCAGCGTGTATATGATGGACTGGATCAGGGTGCGCAGCGCCATGACGAAGCGCAGGATTCTGCCCAGCTTGGCGACACGTACCTTGCAAAATTCCGCACCCAGGTAACTAAAATGTTGAAAGAAAAGCAATCTTGCGTTCACACTGAGAAAACTCAGACTGTTTCTGAGTGTTCCTGTGTTGGATGCTTGTTTTAATGCACCTCTTCAACCAAGTGGCCAGCCGGGTGACGCGCACAATGCGAACAGTGCGGAGCCCTGTGAAGCCCAACATTCCTCCTTCCTGGTGTGAAGGTGTGAGCCATCAGAAGTAAGCTTGCCCTCTGGCCACTTTGTCCCCAGCTCACATGGTGCAGCCTAAATTGCATCATAAATGCATTCTCAGATTCATTATTGGGATCGGATCTTTAAAAAAAGAACCTTACGTTGGAGGCCAAGTAGGTTGGAGGCCATCGCTACTTGTACTAGGTTGCAGGCCATTCCTATTAGCTATTAGGTTGGAAAGCCTCTACATACATCTTTCAGCTGTTTCATGACCGGCCCTCTACAATGTTGACGTCACGATATCGACTGTGCTCCTCATCCTGGGCGGCAGACCTTTGACCAAAGAGCACACACAAAGGCATGGCATTCTTGGACATTGGGTACGTGAGAGCAAATGTCGTTGAACCGTTGGAGGCCCATTGCAAGTAGGTTGAAGGCCATCGCTTTACTAGGTTGGAGGCCATTGCTATTAGGTTGGGGGGACGCATACCACTCAATGCCGGACTCACGGCCGGTGTGAAGTCTGAGGGTACCTTCAAATGGCAAGCGCTATGATGATTTCCTTCTCAAATATCAAGGAGATGCTGCAAGTGGCATCCTATACCATAGATGTTGCCCAAGCGAGAAGCCAAGAAAGCGAAGCCAAGCAAAAGTAGCTGCAGCTGAGGGGCACTATCTCAAGCGCAACCTCCCACAGCGAGCAAATCCTGTGACATCAGAGTTCTGGTCAGATGCAAAAATCACTGGAAATGTGTTCTTTGTTTAGATTGATGCTGGTTCATGTGGAGCTGAATATGATTTTGCCACGGATTAGATGTTGTTGTTTTTTGAGCATGGTGAGGCTCCGCCCCAAAAGCGCCAAAAATCAAAGCCAAGGCACACAAGCACTGCATCCAAACCATTCCTTGAAAGTACTAAGCCCTGCTGGACAAACCCTCGCAGCTCGAGTCTAAAAGTTGCCAAAAGAAGCAGTGCCAAAGCAGCCGAGGTGCCAAAACCAGTCATCTGAGCGAAAAAATGCTCGTCCATAGACGGCAATTCTCAATATGATTTCCAAGGTAAAGAGAGCCGTGTAGCTGTTGCGGATGACCTCCCGGCTGGGCCGCAATGCGGGCAATGCGGCCGCACAGAAAAGCAGCACCATGCCGGTGTTTTTTTGAAGCCCGCCCCCCCTCCCTACTTAAGTAAGGGAGAGGTAGCTAGTAGCTTACGTAGCTACTACTTTAGGACGCAGGACAGCTCACGCTTCTTCAAGGAAGCTCCCTCGGCCACGGCGGGGAAAGCTTCCTTGAATCGAAGAAGCGCTCGCACTAATGATTTGGTTCCTAGATTTTTGGGGAAACTGAACATTAGAATCATTAGAACTAGTTCATCACCTCAATAGCTAACCAAAAGAGCCTGTCTTTGTAGTGTTCTCTGTGTCCGGTCAACCATACCAAATCACCACATCATGCCCCCAGCAAAGTACAGCTAAACGTCCATAGCTAGACATTGATGATGTTCTAGTGATTTGTGCTGAGTGTGCGCACCCTGCTGACGAACAAAAGGCCTGGAGGACTACAGAAGCGTCTTTGGGATGTGCCAATGTATGCTGGACTTCCACCCCGATGAAGATGGCATTTGAGATGACAAGGCAGGCCTTAAGCACATTCACAGCTGCGCCAAGTAAGGTGAAGGTATGGTAGCCAAATCCCATGTGATGGCTGTTGGCATCCAAGAACGCAATACAAACAGTCTCTTCGAAGCCTCTTTGGCGTTCCCATGGCATCCTTGCCAAATGCCAAGGGTCGAAGAACACGTCGAAAGCCGTCGTTGCCACGTAGCGCTTGAGGCAGCAATCTCGACTGAGATGTTGGGAAGGTCGGTCAAGCCTTAATGTTCGAGATGGGCTGAAGAAAGGTGCCAACATATGCCAATAGCGATGGCCTCCAATCTCACAGCGATGTTCTCCAACCTAATAGCAAGAGCCTCCAACCTAATACCAATGGCCTCCAACCTAGTAGCAAAAGCCTCCAACGCGTCCAAACCTAGGTGCTCTTTTTGCCAACATGTTTCAACCACTTCAAACTGTTGCAATCCATCGACAGTGTCAACAAATGACCCTGGAGAACCTGTGCCGACTCTCTTTGCAGTACCTCGGCCTTCATTTCTGTCGACCCCTAGTAGCGTCCTTGCTCCTAGTAGCGATGCCAGGAGCCCCTAGTAGCGTCCTTGCTCCTAGTAGTAAGGCCAGGAGACCCTAGTAGCTTCTTGTTACTCGTAGTAATTCCCCTCTCCCAGATCTTTTTTATCCAAAAAGCCCCCGTTCTCGCCGAGCTTGATCTGCATCGACGTTTGCAGCCCCTTCTTTCAGGTGCAAATCGAACTGAGTGAACGTACCTGGGCACATGCCTGTACCCCTGCCTTCGCGCCTAGCATTACATACAAAATACAAAACTATAGCATCAATTAGTATAGACATATATATATACACCTGCATTTGCAATGTTGTCTTCTTTTGGGAAAGGGTTCTTAGATTCATCGGATCCAAAGCTTCATATGATTCAGAAGTGGAATAAAGTTGATGTCGGGACGATGTCGAGAGATCCCAGCAGACCATCTTTGAAAATCTGGTGTTCTCCACCTGCAACCTTACTCTAGCCACTGCACGGCCATGCGTCCATCTAATAGGAGTGGCCTCCAACCTGCTAGCGATGGCCTCCAACCTAGTAGCGATGGCCTCTGCCCGGCCTTGCGTCCACCTTTGAACGCTGTTTTTAATTAGTCTCATTGCTGCAGCTCGTCACCGCTGCATGTCAATTAGGCAATCCCAAACACACGTCATACAACCGCTCCCAAACCTCCCGAACAACATGTTGCAAAAACATCCCAAGTCCCAAGACAGAGCTTCCAAATCCAAGAATCTGAAGAGTTTTGGCGTGAATGTAAAGCTTCCCTGGGCAAACTGAGGGTATGCACTGAAGGCAGAATTTGATCAAAGCTCTTGTGCAGGGACAGATGCTGGAGTGTGTTTGATCAACTGTAATTTTATATGTTTTGTTTGGCTTTGTTTTCGTCTTCTTGCTGCGTGCTTCTCACAGCGCAGTGCCATCATAAAGAGCCAAACATGTGGCATGGGGCCTGGAAATGTGACAGAAAGCATTACAGGAGTAGTGTACCTATGGGATCGGTGGGTCAGCCAACATCAGCCTTGATTCTCCCAAGATGCTCGAGTGGGTCTTGCCGGGTGATGTTTTCTGACAATTTCTTCCCAGAACCATGGAAGCCCCGTTCGTAGCGTCCTTGCTCCTAGTAGCGATGCCTGGAGCCCCTAGTAGCGTCCTTGTTCCTAGCAATGGAAGAGGGTTGGGGCCGAAAGTCTCACAATGCTCGCCAATGCCGCCCAAAAGCGTGAGCTCGAGAAGGGGACCGCTTCAGTGGCCCCTTCGCATCTTCTCCCTTCACATCTTCAGCAGCACTGGCGTCTTCATCAACGGGGTCCAAGTCAAAGGCCACTCCTCCAAAAAAAATCAGTGGCTCTCAACAGTGCAGCAACTCCATTCAAGACGACAAAGGTGGGGCATGCGGTGGTATACCACGCTGAAATGAAAGCACAATGAAGGATCTAATGATTGATGATGAACAAAACTTATGCGATGTTTTTCTCCCTAGCCTGCAGCTGTCATTGAGGTTGTTGGCGCTAACCTGCTTCCTACAGTTCCTAACTATCTAACTAACTAACTAACTAACTAACTAGCTAGCTAGCTAGCTACCTATCTAACTAACAGTCTAACTTCTAACTAACTACCTAACTAACTACATAACTAAGTATGTAACTAAGTAGCTAACTAAGTAACTAACTCACTAGCTAGCTAACTAACTAACTAATTAACTGTTAACTAGCTCACGGACTAAATAACTAACTGACTAAGCTAAACTAACTAAACCAACCTACCTACCTACCAACCTACCTACCTAACTAACTAACCAACTAACTAACTCCTCAAGCAATCACAACAAACAAAAAACATGAGTTGGTTCCTAAATGTGACTGAATTAAAAAGAATACATACGTTATTTCTATATGGGTGCAGTGTATATATATATATATACACATGATGCTGATGAAGATTCGTGAGGTTTTTCACACTGAGTTGTGTTGCATCACACTGAGTTGCCTCTGCTTCACACTGATTTTGCTCCATTCACACTGAGTTTAGGGCAAGGCTATTATGTTTTTGAGACCTTTGTGAAAGGGTGGGTGGTACCGATGAGCTCGTAACATGAGACGTTCACGCATGGTGCGGTTGAATTTGTTGAAAGGAATTTGTGGATGAGAAGCATCTTCCTGCTTAAGATTTCCAATGTTTTGGCCATGTTTGATGTGGTCCAGCAGGGGCGTGGGTGACCCACTCTTCTATATTGCAAAAGGTTGATTGTTGAAGTGGGTTTTGCCGTTCCCTTCTCAACACGTGCCCTAACAGTTTGAGTCTATGGCCCTCTAAATCTCAGAAAGCGGCCTGATTTTTCTCCCAAACCTTGCAGGGTGCATTGACTTCATTTGCTAGTTATTGTAAACGTATCCGTTGGAGATATGTACTTTGATCATCTAAAATAGTGCTGAGCAATTGCCCTGCTGCTACAGTAGGCTCCAACTTATCCAGGCCATACAGAAAAAGGCTGGTAATCATGGCTTTGGGAACAAGTAGACTAGCAGGTTCTATCTTTTACTGCAGTCTGCTTTCAGCTAGAAAATGTTCAATTTCTTGAGGACTGCCGTCGCTGGTGATATCCTCTTTTTGATTTCGTGTTTTGTGCTGCGTTATTTTTACGCTTGCCCCAACAAAATATGTGCTTCGTCGGTGCACTTCATCAATTCACCATTGCGGAACCATACCCTGCCCTGGCAGTTGTACGCAATGTTGCAGCATTGGGACTTGTAAAGATTTATATATATATAACTAACCCGAAATACTCTGACTCAGCCTGCAATCCTTAGCCCTTGCATTTTTAGCAAGCATCAATGTGTCATCCGCACATCGGATGTCTATCCTTCTGCAAAACTTGAAACCACGGGATTAGGAGTCTTCAAGTTACAGTGGATCTCTCTCTCTCTCTCTCTCCATCGCCATCTGTAAAGACTGTAAAGTTACAGTAAAGTTCTTCTTCAGTTCGGTCCAAGGCTGAAGAGTGCTTTGCCCTGTGACACCACTTGGCCGAACATTCTAAAGAAAAACGCCTGAAACTATTATATGACGTGCGCCAATACCAGCATACCGATCCATTCACTCTGCGCTCCTTTTGGTGCCTGCACCACGGAGCTAAACTCTCCAAGGTTGCGTTCACTGGCGCGACGAGCCTCAAAGCAACGAGATTCAAGGGATACCAAGGATTCCGGAGTGCCATGGGCTGCACGGCTGCAGTTCCAGATTTGCTTCAACTGCCTTGTGATCACCTCTCTTGAATATCTACGAACAGGAAATCAACAATCTGTTCAGCCAACGAGCCTCTCCCGATGAAAAACAGGAGTGTTTTTGGTCCCGAATATCCACACAAAGCTCATTGAAGCGTTGAAACCTGTCCCTGCTCTTGGAAACTTCCTCTGGCCTTGGCAGGGGGTCCATGAGAATGTGCGCAGCCAAGAACTTGAAGCAGGATCCCCTCATGAGCCTCGAAGATCTCAAGCACCTCATCTTGGAAAGAGCATGCACAGTTTCTGTGCAAGTTCTATGCTGGTCCGCGGTACTCAGCATACTGTATGTATATGACGAAGTTACTTGCTGCAAAATACGGATTTAAAAGCAGCGTGGTGGGGATGCAGTGGAATTGGGTGTTTGATGTGCAGGGTGCTGTGACGGGTGCCAATTGTGTAACAGGTGTTTCTGCTCAGCTGATGTGCAGTGCAGCAACCTACCTCATGTTTGGAAGATAAATGATTGGTGGTGGTGTCGGCAAATCTTCGGTCCAGAGACTTGTTTGATGTTTGATCTGTGACTCGTGGCACTGTTCTAACGGGAAGCCGTGTTCTGAGGTATCTCCGGACCTGTCGCATAGAGACTGCACTGCACCGACCCAGTCACGGAAACGACAATGACCGGTGAAAACAAAAGCCATGCACATACTTGTCTCAGGAAGGTGAAAACTATAATCAGGCTCGCGTATTGTTACGCGTCCTTGCTACTAGTAGCGATGGTCTCCAACCTAGTAGCTTCTTGCTACTATAGCTTCTTGCTCCCGGTAGCGATGCCCTTTGTTTACTAGCAATCTTGTTCCTAGTAGTAATATCCCGGTTGGTACCGACAAAAAGGGTCTAGTCAAGGATTTAATTTTATAAAACGGTGTGAGCCAACGTCTCCAAGCATCGCTTCAAAATAAATCATTCTGAGCAAGCAGTTGTCAGGCCTGTTCTTGTAGACAGCATCTTAAGATAAAGTTCACTGTACTAAACGTTGTCACAGAAATGCTGCACAAAAAAAAATCCATATAGCCAACGTCCTATAAGGCGTATACAATGCGTATACAAAGTTATTTCCTGTGTGCCTGACGTGCTTTTGTCAACTGTGCCGGGTGCCGGTGCTGGGTGCTGTGAGCTGGGTGTGCGCATGCCATGCACACAACACACACCCAGTTCTGGAAAAGAGGTGATCACAACCCTTTAGAAATCTAGCTTTCAGGAGCTATGTTCCAAATGATGTCCAGTGCAGACGTCAGCCAACCTGCCACTCCATATGATTTCGGAAAAAATAGAAATATTATTTTGCACTAGACCCCAGGATTCAATTCTGGGAGTACAGACGGGGATGTAGTAATGGCATCCACCCTAATAGCGATGGCCTCCACCTAGTACCTTCTGTTCCTAGATGCCCTTTGTTACTAGTAGCTTCTTGTTCCTAGTAGTAATGGCCTCCAGACTAATAGCGATGGCCTCGACCTAGTAGCGTCTTGCTACTAGTAGCTTCTTGCTCCTAGTAGCGGTGCCCTTTGTTACTAGTAGCTGCTTGTTCCTGGTAGTATTGGCCTCCACCCTAATAGCGATGGCCTCCACCTAGTAGTTTCTTGCTACTGGTATCTCTTCTTGTTCCTAGTAGTAGTGGCCTCCACCCCAATAGCGATGGCCTCGACCTAGTAGCTTCTTGCTACTAGTAGCTTCTTGTTCCTAGTAGTAGTGGCCTCCACCCTTTATTAGCAATGGCCTCCACCTAGTCACTAGTAGCTTCTTGTTCCTAATTAATTAGTTCTTTATGCCCAATAGGTGATTCTACTTAGGCTTCTTGGGCACCTCCGATTCCAAGCGGCTTCCGAGTGGTGCTTCTCCAGAAGGCTGTGAGTTTGCAGCTGTTGAAGCTCTACTTGGTGACACTCACCTAAGCAATTCTTGGCAACACCAATCAGCATCTTTCGTTCTTTACGGGCTCCATTGGTTCAGCTGCTCAGCCATTCTGGAGATTATGGTTCATGCCTACTCCTCAAACCTAAGGAGCATGTAGAACCTGCAAGGCTGCAAGGCTTGGTGGTGTTGGCTGCACCTCTGATGCGCGTAGAACCCCAGAACCCGGGAACCAGTGGGTGCGGGAAAAAATCGGTTTGACACCAGCCAGTCATCAGCAAGCTGTGGGCCGTTTCAGTGTGACCAAACTACCAAACCGCAAACCTGTCATTTTTTCAGACTGCCCACAGACCACATCCTCCCAGACAACGAAACACCACATTCTGTCAGGTTCTGGGAGGTTGCTGGGCGATGCCGATATATAGACTTGACCTCCGACCTAATAGCAATGGCCTCCAACCTAGAATCCGATAGACTTGACCTTCCTCTTCCTGCTGAATGCCAAGAAGCTCTGGAGGCCTGGCCATGCATTCTCCGTGCGGCATCTTTCTCTTAGCATTTGTCAATGTATCAGCTGGGTATGTAAGTACATCGTCCATGCATACCGTATACCACAGAAATATCATGTGCCTCCGAACTTGAGGCCAGGGGGAGGAGGTCGAAAGCTAGCCGAATCGCACCGGATGTACTAGTTACATAGTCTTCAAAGCATGTAGGGATTACATGTTTTGGGAGGAAGGTTGCTATGTCCATACTTTGCGCTAAAGAATGTAAATGTGACATCGCTGACTGGGAAGGGTACATTGGAACAACCCGGGTGCACTCGTTGGCAGGCACGAAGATGCGTGATCGGCAAATCTGGGGGGTAAATTTACCCTCCGCTTTTGTATGCCTTGAGTCGGAAAGAGGGGTAAGCATTTCTGACATCATACGGACTGTACATACACTAGGGCGTCCGTAGTGTAGGAGAAGCACGGGTAAAAGGTATATGGAATAGAGTGTCTTGAGGAAATAGCCGGCTTGTGGTCATTGCAAATCTGGGGGTAAATTTACCCCGCGCTTATGTATGCCTTGAGCCGGAACGAGGGGTAAGCATCACAAGGACTGTGCATACACTAGGGCGTCCGTAGTGGAGGATAAGCACTGGTAAAAGGTATCAAGAATAGAGTCTTGAGGAAATAGCCGGTGTATGGTTATAGCAAGCCTGGGGGATATATAAATTTACCACCCGCTTATGCATGCATTAGGTTAGAATAGGGGTAAACAACTTGTAACGGTGAAGTACAAGTCCTATGCAGCAAGCAGCAGCCAGCAGCAGCAGCAGCTGCAGCAGCAGCAGCAGCAGCCGCCTGCAGCCAGAAGCCAGCAGCAACCGCCAACCAGCAGCCAGCCAGCAGCACCACGCAGCAGCAGCGCAGCATCAAGCCGCAGCAGCAGCAGCACCACCGGCAGCAAGCAGCAAGCAGCAAGCAGCAGCAGCAAGCAGCAAGCAGCAGCAGCAGCGGCGTCGTCAGCAACAGCAGCAGCAGCAGCACCAAGCCGCAAAGCAGCAGCTACAAAAGCGGCAACCAGCGGCAGCAGCAAACAGCAGCAGCAAGCAGCAGAGCGGCAGCAGCAGCACCATTTACACCAAGCCACCGTTTACACCCAACCAACCACGTTCACACGTTCAACCAACCCCCTACACGGCGCGCAGCTGGGAGTCGAACCGTGGGGGGGGGGTAGTGTGATATATCAAGCTTTAGGGCACACAGCTCATCCCACTACCAATTGCTAAAGCAAAGAAGAACTCAGCTAGCATGCTAGCTTTCGTGATGAAATTGAAAAGGGCTGCCACATGTTGCCACATGCGTCCACCCTCCAGCCTTTCATCAAATGCTTGAGCTCCTCCAGCTGAGGGTCCGCACATTGATGGCCTGAACGGGAAGCGAACAACCGGGCGAACTAGAACAAGGTGCCTAAAGGTCACAAGGTCTATAACGAGATCCGCGGCTGCTGAGGGAACGGATGCCGGAAGGATGCCGTTTCATTTAATGCCACCTGAGCCCCTGCCATGTGAAGAACTGCGGGACAGAATTGTTCTGTTGGATGTCCATACGAGGAGGAAGAATATACATTATGCGATGCGATGTTCCTCCAAGCCTGGTCGGTCATGTCTGCTCAGCCGAGGGGGTTCTGGCCTCTTCTCCTCCTTGGTACAAACGGAACCGGCAAACGAGAAGCTAAAGCAATTAAGGTAAGTAAATGTGAGTATATAGTTAAGTTAATCATATACAGTACATGTTTTTAGTTGTTCTAATCAATTTAAGGACACGTGCAAACAGTGTTAGTGAGGGTAGAACTGAAAGAAACGCTGGAAAACTGCAGACAAACAGCATCGGAAAGCTGAGTGGCTGCTGGAAGCATTCAGGCTTCCGAAAAGCTTCCGCGAGGCTTCCGCGAGGAAAGCAAACTGTCCTCTACAGTCTGACAGAGCTCAGAGTTCAGCTGATCATGCATCTTACTACCAGTAGCAGGAAGCTAGTAGGCTGGAGGGTTGGAGGCCATCAAGAAGCTACTAGTAGCAAGGCGCCTTACTGTCACCAAACATCTCCAAAACTCACAAACTCTTCACTGGTCCTTGGGTCCTTAGCTAATCAGCAAGTGACACGAAGCCAAAAATGGCTGCATCAGGTGCACAACGGCGCGGTTGCCCATGCAAGCTCCTGGCCTTACTACTAGGAGCAAAGTACGCTACTAGGGGCTCCTAGCATCGCTACTAGGAACAAGAACGCTACTAGGGGCTCCTGGCCTTGGACGCTGACAGCAAAACATACACTCTGATTTTGCTGTGCTCATGACTTCAAGAAACGTTGTTCGTCTACGATGACCTATTGGATGCCTACCCACTTCTGCACAGGATTGGTAAGTTTCTTGGGTAAGTTACATGATTATTATACCGCCATTCGTGATGCAAAAGCAAAATAGTGGATTCTTCTGCACAACTCACGGTCTAAGTCACAAGTAGACCATCCGTTCAATTCGCAAGGACAACTGATTAAAAAAGAAAACAACCTTTTCAAGTCCCCACCCAAACTTCGGTGGACGAGGTCAGAACACACTCGTGAAAAGCTGTGCCTCTACCGGAGCCTTTGGCTCTCTCCACTTGGGTATGGAAGCAACGTTTCCTTTGGGGGCAAGCCTGTTAGGAAGGATCCGAATGAATCAACATCCTGAGAAATTGGCTCACACGTCCCAGGTTGACCCACAAAGTAGCTGCTCCAGCCATTGGGTGGCACATGCATGTTATCACCCCAGCGCGTTTTAGCTGCTGGTGACCGGGAGGACAGCATGGCGAGGTAAAGAACAACAAAGGCAAAGGCTGAGAACAAGCAAACTTGATGCTCCTCCACACCGTGCCTATACCGTCCTCAGTGCAACAAGTGCCTTTGGCATGCGGTCTGAAAATGAGGTGACAACCACCAGGTGACACATTATGGAGAAGCGTCCCTGGGACACCGCCTTCCACTGCGGCTCGCAGACTTGAGACTTCTTGCCTTGTAGGCCTCGTGAAGCCTCCCTGCGGGCACGCGAGAATCAACAAGATCGAAGCGTTGGTTTCTTGCAATCTGCTCGAGACCTCTCGCAAACTCGGCATGGAACCACGGCCATGGAGCATGATCTCCCTAGGAAGAAAGTGCCAAACAAGACCAAATCCGCGTGAGTCCATCTCACAAAGGGCGCTCAGCGTCACGTCACTTCAAGAGTGCTTGGTGACTGAAGGCATTTCCCCTAGTGTGCGACAGGGGCGCTGCAGCACAGGCAAGTGCCAGTGGCTGCCAGGTTCTGAACACACTGCCACACTTCAATCTGACCTTCTTCTTGGGGAATCCAGCCAAGCCTTTGGTTTGGGGGCCAATTTGAAGGCTTAGATCCCAGCGTCATCAATGAACACATGTTCTGTCATGTTTGAGCCTTGCGATTGAGGGACAAGGCTGCCTGCCTTGGATTCTGAAGACGATCGAATAAGGAACTGCCAAACCGTCCCATCAAGTTGAACTGCCCCATCAAGCTCGAAGGCGTAATGTTCCCACACATACTTACACATCTTTCATACAAAACCCTTCCGCCTTCCGCCCAATAAAAAAACAAGATGGAACCCACGAACCCGAATGGAAACAATTTCGAAAAAACTACATATGTCCAAATGACACTCTTGTAGGACACTCTTGTGGGACACCCTTGTAGGACACTCTTGCAGGACACTCTAGGACACTCTTGTGGGTCACTCTTGTAGGACACTCTTGTGGGACACTTTTGTAGGACACTCTTGTGGGACACTCTTATAGGACACTCTTGTGGGACACTCTTGTGGGACACTCTTGTAGGACACTCTTGTGGGACACTCTTGTAGGACACTCTTGTGGGTCACTTACTCTTGTGGGACACTCTTGTGGGACACTCTTGTAGGACACTCTTGTAGGAAACTCTTGTGCGACACTCTTGTGGGACACTCTTGTGGGTCACTTTTGTAGGACACTCATGTAGGACACTCTTGTGGGTCACTCTTGTGGGACACTCTTGTAGGACACTCTTGTGGGACACTCTTATAGGACACTCTTGTGGCACACTCTTGTGGGACACTCTTGTAGGACACTCTTGTGGGACACTCTTGTAGGACACTCTTGTGGGACACTCTTCTGGGACACTCTTGAAGGACACTCTTGTAGGACACTCTTGTGGGTCACTCTTGTAAGAAACTCTTGTGGGACACTCTTGTAGGACACTCTTGTGGGACACTCTTGTGGGACACTCTTGTGTGACACTCTTGTGGGTCACTCTTGTAGGACACTCTTGTGGGACACTCTTGTGGGACACTCTTGTAGGACACTCTTGTGAGATACTCTTGTCGGACACTCTTAAGGGACACTCTTGTGAGACACTCTTGAGCGACACTGTTGCGGGACACTCTTGTGGGACATTTTTGTGGGACACTCTTGTGGGACACTCTTGTAGGACACTCTTGTGGGACAGTCTTGTAGGACACTCTTGTGGGACACTGTTGTGGGACACTCTTGTGGGACACTCTTGTGGGACAGTGGGACACTCTTGTGGGACACTCTTGTGGGACACTGTTGTAGGACACTCTTGTGGGACAGTCTTGTAGGACACTCTTGTGAGACACTCTTGTGGGACAGTCTTGTAGGACACTCTTGTGGGAGACTCCTGTAGGACACTCTTAAGGGACACTCTTGTGAGACACTCTAGTGAGACACTGTTGCGGGACACTCTTGTGGGACACTCTTGTGGGACACTCTTCCAGCTCCCCACAAAGTTGTACTAAAAGTTCTCAGCTTCCAGCTCCACAGATTGCTCCGCGTACTAAAGTTGTACTACAACGTCACCAGTTCTCATCCCAGCTCCCCAGATACTCCGCGTAATCACTGCTCGCCTGCATTTCGCGCACTCGACACGCGCGATCTCCGCAGAGGGTTAAGCGTGCGCACCGGACAAATCGCACTCTCGCCTGCATTTCGCGCTTTCGACACGCACGATCTCCGCAGAGGGTTGCGCGCGCAGCCGGCAAATCGCACTCTCGCCTGCATTTCGCGCACTCGACACGCACGATCT